AATTGCTTTCCTTTCACCCTTTTTCAGTGGAGAGGATTATTTTGTTTCCTCGGATATGCTGCCTTTTGCAGCTCGAGCTGCCATAATAAAATTCCCAAAACTGGATGGTTTAAACAACAAATTTATTTTCTCAGTTCTCCAAGCTGAAAGGTCCAAAATCAAAGTTCTGGCCAGTTTGGTTCCTGATGAAAATTCTCTTTCTGCTTTATATGTTACCACCATCTCACTGCGTGCTCACGTGATCTCTTCCCTGTTAGTGTGTGAAGGGAGAAAGAGAGAACTCTTTAGTGTCTCTTCTTATAAAGACAATAATTCCATCACATGCACTACATCCTCATGACCTCTTCTAACTCTACGTACTTCCAAAGGTTCCATCTCCACATACCATTATACTAGGAGATACAGATTCAACATAAGAATATAAGAACTTGGGAGAGATATAATTCAGTCCATAGCAGATCCTTGTTCTCTAGTTATGTATTAAAACCATGTTCTCCTTGCGCATTCTTGTTACGGCCATGGATTGACTAAGAAAATGATCTGAAGAGTGCTCCTTAGACCAGATCGCCAAAGAAATGGCATAATAACAGATAGTGACGACTTAGAAGAGAAAAAACTCTTCAAGAACATTTCAAAGACAAAGACAAAGAGTGTTATAAAATGTTCAGAAATGTGCTTGGGAGAGTAGATATTCACTTATTTGAGAGCTATGTTGTAAGAAAGTTCACGAGGCAATTCTTATTTTTCCTCAAAAGGTAAATTTAAACCCTGTCACTAAGCAACAACAATATGAATAACTAAAACAAATAAATAATGTTCAAAAATTAGGAACATTAAGGCAATAATGTCACACTACAGGCAGAGCTGTAGATGTGTGGTTCCTCAAAACCAGTGAGAATGTTAATTGATCTCCAGTCTGTCTTGGGATCTCTAAGGTGTGTGCACTGTAATTTTTCTGATGATCTTATTTGCATCATATTCCTAAATAAGATCCCTTGGGGCGGAGTCACTGACAAAACCCTGCAGTTTGCTGCTACCCAAACCCACTTGGAGAAGAAATAGGAACGCCCTCTACGCAGGTAGTTTCCAAGGCCATATTTTAGAATCTGGATCAATCGGCATTTTTAAAATAAAGTAAAAGAGAAGAGAATGCTTTTAAAATAAAATGCTAGGTGGCATTTTTTAAAAATAGGGTAAAGAGTCTTTTCTCGGATTTTATTTCCATATGTATGTATGTATGTATGTATGTATGTATGTATGTATGTATGTATGTATGTATGTATGTATGTATGTATGTATGTATGTATGTATGTATGTATGTATGTATGTATGTATGTATGTATGTATGTATGTATGTATGTATGTATGTATGTATGTATGTATGTATGTATGTATGTATGTATGTATGTATGTATGTATGTATGTATGTATGTATGTATGTATGTATGTATGTATGTATGTATGTATGTATGTATGTATGTATGTATGTATGTATGTATGTATGTATGTATGTATGTATGTATGTATGTATGTATGTATGTATGTATGTATGTATGTATGTATGTATGTATGTATGTATGTATGTATGTATGTATGTATGTATGTATGTATGTATGTATGTATGTATGTATGTATGTATGTATGTATGTATGTATGTATGTATGTATGTATGTATGTATGTATGTATGTATGTATGTATGTATGTATGTATGTATGTATGTATGTATGTATGTATGTATGTATGTATGTATGTATGTATGTATGTATGTATGTATGTATGTATGTATGTATGTATGTATGTATGTATGTATGTATGTATGTATGTATGTATGTATGTATGTATGTATGTATGTATGTATGTATGTATGTATGTATGTATGTATGTATGTATGTATGTATGTATGTATGTATGTATGTATGTATGTATGTATGTATGTATGTATGTATGTATGTATGTATGTATGTATGTATGTATGTATGTATGTATGTATGTATGTATGTATGTATGTATGTATGTATGTATGTATGTATGTATGTATGTATGTATGTATGTATGTATGTCTGATATTATGTAAGATGTATTTCTTATTAGTTTAAAATGAAAAAATGATTTGATCTCACCAAGTTAGAATCTATTATGCTGTCAGGCACTTAATTCGCTAAACCGTGATCTATGTCAAAACCCTTCCCATTTTTGCAAAAGCTAATCATTTTATCTACGATGGGAAGTGAACATATTAGAATCAAGACATCGATACATCCTTTCATACATTTAACACAAGTAAAGGGAATTACTTATGAGCAAGGGGAATAAATATCAAAATATTATTAAGAAATTAATCTTTAATTCTCCATTACCAAGCATCTAGAAGGGGTTACAGAAAGCTATGAATGAAAAAGTCATGACTTTTCCTATGAAGTCTATAATCTACCAAGAGAAAAAATATGGTAATAGATGGCTGCAAAAATGTGAAATGTTATATCAGTCAATGAGTTATGCGTAAAATGTTTCTCAAATATAAAGATGAAAACTGGTAAGAGCTCTTATTTTTAAAAAAAGAAAAAAACAGAAAACTGTTTAGTATCAGAGCATGGAAATTAGAAATCAGGGAGGTCTTCAAGGAGAAGTGGGGTTTGGGGTCGGCCTTAAAGAATAATTAAGAGTTTTCCCTCCAACTCTCAATTCACCATACACTTGGTAGAGAGTTGAGCATAGAAAAAAGCGAGTGTGAAAGTAGAGAAGAAAGTAAGGTCAGATGGTAACTAAGGACCGCAAAACAATTATTCTGACTGGATTACTGTGTGTCGGTTGTGGCAGAAGAGATATGAATATAGTTTGAATATAAAAAATCATGTGTTTGATGGTAAAAAGTCATATATAATATACTTCCAAATATATTTGCATATATATGCACCAAGTTAAGATGAGATGGCATACTGAAGTTTTTACAGCTGCCGCACAGTGAATGAAGCTTTACCTGGTGTTTTGGGACTTGAAATCAAATTTCCAATCAAATAGTTGTTTATTTGTTTCAAAATACATTTTATATATTTATAAGACCACTAATTAACCTTCTAAAAGCTTTAATGGCCTACCCATCTCATGTAATGGTAACTGGCAGCAATGATCAATATTAGTGTTTTTCTTTTCTTCAAATAAATACCCAGAAGTGAAATTGCATGATCATATGGTAGTTCAATTTTTACTTTTTTGAGGAATCTCTATATTTTTTTCTATAGTGTTTGTACAGATTTACTTTTTTTCATCAATAGTGCACAAGTGTTCCCTGTTCTCCACACCCTCACCATCCCTTGCAATTTCTTGTCTTTTTGACAATAGCCATTCTAGTTAGTGTAAGAATATATCTCATTATGGTTTTGATTAGTGTTTCCTGTTGCTTTTTCCCATTGATTAGTGATATTGAGCATCTATTCGTCTGCCCATTGACCATCTGTATGTCTTCTTTGGAAAAATGTCTAATATTTCAATCTTCCACCCATTTGTTAATTGGATTGTTTTCCTTGTTTGTTTGTTTGTTTTTTGTTATTGAGTTGTACGAGTTCTTTAGATATTTTGGATGTAAATCCCTTAATATATATATTTCACAAGTATTTTCTCTCTTTCAGTAGGTTGCATGAAAACTTTTTGAGATTATGTGAGCAAGAGTTGTAGCAATAAAAGCTATTAGTCATTGAAAAGACAGTTAGGAAATATGAGTTATTTTCTCTGTATATTATTTATATGAAGTCATGTGCACTGTGTGAAAAACAATTTATTAGTTTCCTCTAACTAGTTTTTAATGTTTCATATGGAGAAAGAGAAAGAGAAATATGACATATGACATTAAAATTTAGTAACAGAATCTTTATTTCTATATAGGTTACCTTGCCCGACACTAAACCTTATACTGATGTTCATATTCTATTTATGAACAACAGTCCAAAAGGGATAGGTAAAACATTTGAAGATATTCCATTTAAAATATAATCAATGTAAAAAATAACATAAAAATAATCCACATCTACCTGTTTTAAAATAAATGGTAAAGAGGTAAGAGCAATGTACATTGACATAACTCTATTCGAAAGCAGACAGCACTTTTATTTTAATTAAGCAAAATGTTTTGAAAATTTTCATGTATTCATTGTATTTGAACAGGTAAGTTGATGCTTTCCATATGAAGACAAGTGTGAAATGCTATAACGAGAAACACTTGGAGAAATTTAGGCATGGAAGAACACAATTAATTGGGTATATTGAGAATATAAGAGTTGATGGCATCAGAAAAACACAGAGTAGCTGTCTGGGCTTTACCGCAGGGGCTTAACCTCTCTGAGAGTTCTCTCGGTCTCACCCATAAAATAGGCATGAAGGATAGAAAATAAATAAACACCTGTATAAGACTGTCTTTCATCAAGTTCTCCATTTTCAATATTTTCACTATTAATACAATTATCAAGATTGCATAGCAACCTGTGGTGACCTCTCTCCAGATAGAAATGAGAACAGAATAGCTGTATCTGTCAGCACTGCAGCAATGTGGAGTTTGTATCACACAGGCATGATGGCAGGTTTGTCAGTGATGTCACTGCAGAAGATTCATTGTTCCTTTGGGTTATTCACGTTAAGATTTTTTTAAATAAAAACAATAGTTTTCAAGTTTTGAAAAATTAATATTAAATTTTAAATAATGTATGCATAAGAACTAGGAGCAGAGAGTCAATGTGGGCTGAATCCTATCATACAGCTCTTAACTTTTTCAATGCAATTGATCTGGGTGAAAGAAATAAGTCTTTCCTCCAAAATATCTACTTTTGCCCTTTCTCCCATCCCAGACTTCAAGTATACTATTAATCATTTTAATATTAGTACTTTCATGTTAATAATAAAATGGCTTTTCAAGATTCTAAGGTGTAAAAAAACTATTATGAAGGTTTAAGATTAATTTAATTAAGCTGGATTTAACTTTCCTCTCTTTATCCAGATGCACCGAAGATACATGGCCCAAATCAATTGCACCCAGGTGACAGAATTTATTCTCGTGGGTCTGACAGATCGTCAAGAGTTGAAGATGCCCCTCTTTGTGATTTTCTTATCTATTTATGTTTTCACAGTCATAGGCAACCTGGGTTTGATCCTAGTCATTAGAACAGATGCAAGACTCAAAACACCTATGTACTTCTTCCTCAGCAACCTGGCTTTTGTCGATTTCGGTTATGCTTCGGTCATTACACCCAAAATGCTGGGAAACTTCTTGTACAAACAAAACGTCATCTCCTTCAATGCATGTGCTGCTCAGTTAGGCTGTTTCCTCGCCTTCATGACAGCTGAATGCTTGCTTCTGGCTTCCATGGCCTATGATCGGTACGTGGCCATTTGTAACCCTCTCCTCTATATGGTTGTAATGTCTCCAGGAATCTGCATGCAGCTTGTGGCTGCCCCCTATAGCTATAGCTTCCTAGTTGCCTTATTTCATACCATCCTCACTTTTCGCCTCTCTTATTGTCACTCTAACATCATCAATCACTTCTATTGTGACGACATGCCTCTTCTCAGGCTAACTTGCTCAGACACTCACTCCAAACAGCTGTGGATCTTTGTCTGTGCTGGTGTCATGTTCATTTCTTCCCTTCTGGTTGTCTTTGTCTCCTACGTGTTTATTATCTCCGCCATCCTGAGGATGCGCTCGGCTGAGGGTCGCCGCAAGACTTTCTCTACGTGCAGCTCGCACATGGTGGCAGTCACCATATTCTATGGGACTCTGATCTTTATGTACTTACAGCCGAGCTCTAATCATTCCCTTGACACAGACAAGATGGCCTCTGTCTTCTACACAGTGATCATTCCCATGCTGAATCCCTTAATCTACAGCCTGAGGAACAAAGAGGTGAAAGAAGCCTTGAAGAAAGTCATCGTCAGTAGAAACCAGGCTTTCATGTTCACGATGTTAAGAAAGTGACTTGAGTAAATAAAAGTGAATTTCTTCATGGTCTGATTTTTTTCTTCTCAAAAAACCATGAGAAGGCCTGGTCTTAATATGTGACTTCTCTATATCTGTTCACTGTATAATAAAATTTCTTAAGATGTTCACTTAGAATGAGATATCAGATGTAAAAATAACCATAAAAATTTATACCCATTCTCTCATTTTTCAAAAGGAAAATGTATTAAAATTAATTAATTCTTTGGTCCATAAGAATGTATATCAATTATTCCATTTCTCAAATGAAGAATTGTGTAAAAAGCCATTTACTGGATATATAACTAGTTAAAGGCAAAACAAAGACTAAAGTTCAGGCTCTCAACCTCTCCAAATCCCCTGTTCAAAGTTCTCTGGTTGCATTAACAATATCCCATGAGAAAAGCAAAGATGGATAGTCTAAATATTTTTTTTAATTGTTAATTTCTTGAAAAAAAATTAAGACAATATAAAATGTTTCATATTTACACATTTTAGAAATCATCTTTATTAAAGAGAATAGTACTACTTCCTAACTTTACTTAGAACACTGATTGAACATGGCTTTCAACTGACCTGGAAGTCTGGTTTGAGCTCAAAAGACCAACTCTTTAAGAGAACTCTTTTTTTTTTTTTTTTAATGCCTGTGAGACCTCATTATATTTTTTCCAGTTATCTTAAAAAATAATAATAAGGTAATTCTATGATAGAATCCCAGGGGGCATCATACTTTCTAAACAAATATGCTCGAAATAATTGAAACATAAACCATTTTAACAGTAACAAGGCTCATATGCAGTTATATTGGGCAAACCTTGGGTAAGTTGGTCATTGTTGATTAAGTTATAGCTTATAACACAATGAACCCAGCAAACAAAGTTAACAAGTGAAAAGAACATATGCTTGTAGTCAAAGAATGGCTTTGTATTGTGTATGGGTTCTCACAAGTTAATTAGTTAAATGAAAATATTAGTTAATTTGGAATTTTTACAAGATCAAACAATATGAAAAAAGTAATAGTAAATAGTAGGCACTTACAAATCAACTCCTTTCCTTCTATGAGTCCAAAAATCTGATTTCTTGTCCCAATTCTGCTAATGAACTTGAGGGAGCTATTTATAAATGAGGATTACCATACACAACTAATAACTGTCATATAGAAAGATTGCTAGATATAGATATGCGTGTATAATAAATGCAATGATAATTTTACAATTTTCAATTACACGGAAAATGGTTTAGAGTTTGTGACTCATTCATATCATTTAATAATTTTTTTTTTAAATCTAAGGGCCACTTGAATGCTAATGACAAAAGACTGGAAAGATGTTATAAAAATTCCAAGAGTGAAGATTATTTTTCTATAAAAATATTTTTTAAAAAAATTCTTAGGTCAGGGACCACTTGGATTTTACTATATTTTTTGGTGAATCGTAGCGACACAAAGTTAGTCTGATCCACAATTCTCAAAAATTCTTTCCTCATCTTTTCTTTAATCACATTTACCTACCATTTAAAGATTTCAGTGGCTCTCTGTTTTCTCACAAGGCTTCTGTAGCAGATTTTGAGTCTGTAATCCATATGCTGAAAACTTATCATTAAATCAGGGGAATTCACAACCTCCTATCTTGTTATGCTATTGCATTTCAATGTGCCACAGCCGTACTATTAAAGACCATAGGTTGCTTGGAGTCTAAAAGCCTAAAGGTGAATGCTGGATCTCACATTTGCTTAATCAAAAGATCTCAGACAATTTATTCCACTTATGTATGACTCAGTCTCCTCAGCAGTATGAAAGGTGAAGACAGTATCAGCTTTTAAATCTATTGTCATAAAATCAAAAAAGACAATGGATAAAAAACATTTAATAGTTAAGACTTTTTAAATTGATAATTTTTATATTTCTTACTTCTAATTTTAAAATGCTGAATGTTAGAAAACTATCCAAAGTAAAATTTAAGAATTTCAAGTTAAAACTGAAGATTTGCTACATAACAATTAATATAGGAGGAAAAAATGGTGTCATGATTTTTTCTTAAAATTTGATGATGTCCCTTCATTATTTAAAGTTGTTTTAAATTCTGGAAAATTATTCACTGGTGTGTATTTTGCCAAATGACAAAGCCAGAAAATTCAAAATCTTATTTTTCCTTAATATCAATATTATATGTATACTAGAAAAAAAAAAGAAAAATTTTAAATTATAGCAAATAGTATTCTGAAAGATAAACAGTGTTAATATTTTGAGTTTGACTTTTATTTTACATCCTTTGTACTTGATTTTAGTAATTTTTAATGTTCTTATGAAAAAATAATGATTTTATGATATAAATTTACAACTTAAGAAATTTTTATATATGCTGTCAAAACCACTTACATTCTTAATATTTTTAAAAAAGTATAACACAGATTTTGCTATTGTATTGTTTATAAAATTTTAATGAAAATACTCTTTTCTTTTATAGCTCTGTAATGGATTTTCTGTCTTGGAATTTCTGCCTAGACCAAATCCTTTAACACAGAAAACATAAGAAAAATCCACACATAATCCAGAGTGCTTGCTTATCAGGAGTCTGCTTTGACTGAATTTAACATACAATCTTGGTAATCCAATCCATCTTCTCACATTTAATTGATTATATTTTACAGATCCAAGATTATTCAGAGTGTGTGCTCTGGAAGAGTTTATTGAGGAATTGTTTATCTATTTCATGGCAAGAGGTAATCATTCAGCAGTCACTGAGTTCATCCTCTTGGGCCTTACAGATAATCCAGAGCTCCAAGCCATTTTCTTCGGTGTATTTCTGCTAATTTATTTAGTTACCGTTTTGGGTAATCTTGGTTTGATTATGCTAATCCAAATCAGTCCTCAGCTTCACACACCTATGTATTTTTTCCTCTGTCATCTGGCTTTTGTTGATTTTTATGGTACCTCCACCATCACACCAAACACCCTTGTGAACTCTCTACGTGAAATTAAAAGTATGTCGTATTATGCATGTGCCACTCAAGTGTGTTGCTTTATCACATTTTCGGTCTGGGAACTATTCATGCTCTCTGTCATGGCCTACGACCGGTATGTGGCCATCTGCAGCCCTTTGCTCTATGTAGTTCTCATGCCTAGAAAACTCTGCATTCAAATGGTCACTAGCTCTTATATTTATGGCTTAACTGTAGGACTCATACAAACAGTGGCAACATTCCACATGTCTTTTTGTGACTCTAATGTGGTCAACCAGTTCTACTGTGATGATGTTCCCTTGATTGCTTTGGCCTGCTCTGACACTCAATTCAAAGAGCTAATGTTGTTAATCATTGCTGGATTTAATGTTTTTTGTTCTCTCATCGTTGTTCTCATATCCTATGTGTTCATTGTCTTTGCAATCTTAAGGATCAGTTCTGCAGTAGGAAGAAAGAAAGCTTTTTCTACCTGTGCTTCTCACCTGTTTTCTGTTACTATGTATTACGGGACCCTCAGTTTTATGTACCTGCAGCCCAAGTCAAACCATTCACTAGATAAAGACAAATTTGCCTCAGTATTCTATGCAGTGGTGATTCCCATGCTAAATCCATTGATCTATAGCTTGAGGAATCAAGAAGTAAAAAATGCTTTGAAAAAAATTATTGAGAAGGTATATTCTAGTAATCAATAATGAATTGTGTTGCTACTAAAGAAACGCTGAATATGTAGTTAGGGAATTTTAAATAAAAGCTTGTACAGTGATATACGGCAATAACTGTGGGAGATTTTGTCCTCTGGGACTCAGTTTCCTGATCTCTATTTCCTTTGAAATAAGTATTTTATTGGTTTTGCTTACACATAGTAGATATTTCATAAATACTTGTTTAATTGTTGAATGTGTAAAAAGGGATAAAATAATCTATTCTCTTTGACCATGAGATGTTTCAACAATGGAGATGAAGAATAAAGCACATTAAAATCATAACATTATCATGTTTTACTGTGATATTGAGAATTTTAGGTTGTCTTGAGAGATGAAGAACTATGCAAATATTTCAAATACCAGGTAAATTTTTCTCCCATACTTGAAAAGGGGGAAAAATAACAAGATGCTGATCAAATGATTTTTATTTGTAAAAATGTACTCTTTATTTTACAATGTCTCTATTGATATAGTTTAACATTTTGGATTTACAACAAAACTGAGAGGGAGGTACAGAGATTTCCCATATACCTCCTACTGCTACACATGCATAGCCTCCCGTTATCAATGTCGCTCACCAGAATATGTTTTCCTTGTTACAATGAATGAACCTACATTGACACATCATAATCACTCAAGGCCATATACAGTTTAGCTTAGGGTTCACTCGGTGTTGTATACTCTACAGAGTGAGACAAATGTATAATGCCTTATATTCATCATTATAATATTATAGAGTACTTTTATTTTTAATGCTCTAAAAATCCTCTGTGCTCTATTCATCTCTCTCCTACTGCCCCCACCGCTGGGAACCACTGATCTTTTCATTGTCTCCATGGTTTTGTCTTTTCCAGAATGTCATAAAGTTGGATTCATGCAGTGTGTTACCTTTCTTTCACTTAGTAATATGCATTTAATTTTCCTCTGGTCTTTTCATGGCTTGATAGCTCATTTCCTTTTCGTGCTGAATAATATTTCATTGTCTGGATGTACCAGTTATTTTTACTCATTCACTTACTGAAAGACATCTTGGTTGCTTCCACTTTTAACAATTATAAGTTAAGCTTCTATAAACATCCATGTGCAGATTTCTGTGTGGATACATTTTCAACTCATTTAGAACACAATTGTTGGATTGTATGGTAAGAGTATATTTGATTTCATAAGAAACTGTCAGGCTCTTTTGGCTGAACATTTGAATATGATCATTCAAGCACCGCACTTTCTAGATTTTCCTCAGATTCAACCAGCACTTTAGCCATACTGATTACTTCTGGGTGGAGTGATACAAACTTTATTCTACATGGTTACTGAGAATCCAATTGCCTTGATCTT